TAAGTTTTCTACCAGTGCAATCTTATAAAACCTGAGATACCTAGGAAGGAAGAAGAATAAAATATAGATATGGGGTGTTGCATTATTCATGTTTTTATCTCAGACTCTTTAGAAGAACAGTTGCCTAGTCCCTTTATTCTCTTATATTGAAGAGCAGTTTGAAATGAGACTTGATAAAATTTAATCATTTTATTAAAAATATACAGCGACTCTCAACATGGACAGAAGGAAGAGTATTGAAAACTTAACACATCCACAAAACTCATCTGGAAAATTAAGAGTAATCTCTCATCTTTTCCTAATCAGAGTTTATTCCCAACATTATCTGGACTTGCTTTTTATTCTCTCGTTTCATACTTTTCATACTTAAAGATACAATTCCTGGGGGTGATTAGGCGTTTTCAGAATGGAGCTTATTGAATTTGTCTTTTATGGTCTGGCACATAAGCTCCTCATCAGTTTCCAATGTGAAAAATGTCAGAACCTCATCATTCAGAAATAACCTCCTCATTTCTCCCTGGAGGAGGTGAGCTTCCTCAATGCTTCTTCCAAGGATTCTCCATTGCTGATAATGTACTCAATGGATATTAGTGTGTCTCCATTTCCCTTAGAGGAAAAGAAGTACTTGTAATCCTCCAGGGGTGATCTGCCTATAAGGGGGAAATTGTTAATGACAATTTATTATTAGTGTCTGTGTCACATTTAAGATTATAGGGTGATAAAATGCAGGCTTAGTTTGTTTGGGAGAGTCTGGAAGGGTAAGATATGATTTTGCCAAATTGTAATAATTTACCAAGTCCTTCCATAGGAACCATCTAATTTGACTTTCTCTGCCACATGATAATGAATGCAGGAAAAAAGTTATCATTCTAAATTGCAGATGAATCAACTGTGCTTCCCCAGAAATGAGATTTCCTTTCCCTAGCTCTCCTAGAGCTTCCTTCTCTAACTTAAAGCACTTTTCCTTATGCCTAACCCTGAGATGCCCTGAGCTCCGGCCTGTCTAATGTTTCAGTCCCATTTTGTTTGAATATGCTTGAACTATTAAGCTCACTTTTTCTTTATGTGATTAGCAACTAGTACCCCAAATCCAATCATAGTTCTTCCAAGATTTATTTGTGCTACCCAATATTGTCACTGTCACTGTCCTCCCGTTGTTCATCGATTTGCTCGAGCAGGCCCAGTAACGTCTCCATTGGAGACTTTGTTGTTACTGTGTTTGGCATATCGAATGCATCACGGGTAGCTTGCCAGGCTCTGCCATGTGGGCGAGATACTCTCGGTAGCTTGCCAGGCTCTCCGAGAGGGGCGGAGGAATCGAACTCGGGTCGGCCATGTTGGCTGCGTGTAAGGCAAACGCCCTACCACTGTGCTATCGCTCCAGCCCCCACCCAATATTATTATATGTTTATAAGCTAGCAAAGTTAACATAAATTAAATAATAAATTAAGGATATATACATATATATACATATACCATTAAGGAAGTACCATCATGAGTATTATCCCTGTACTGAGTGCTGTTCCACATGTCTGATGTAGCACCGTTATAAAGAATGTACCTACTAAGAGATTGCTTTGTAGCAAGATTCCGGAAAACCATCATAAATACATTCACTTGGTTCTTATGTGGTAAGTCAGAGATCCTCAGAGAAACAAGAAAATAGAAGAGGGTTCTCCAGAGAAATGGAGCAAAGTTGTTCTAAGGAGATGATTCACAGTCCTGGAGACTATGAAGTCACCTTATCTGCCATCTTCAAGCTGGAGACTCAGGAAATCAAGGGGTGAAATCCAGTGTTTCTCTAAAGGCCTAAGTATCAAGCAAGTCAATGGGTTTAGATGCCAGCCCCTGACAACCTGAGAAGCAGGTCTACTTCAAGCAATTAGTCATAAAGGGTCAGTATTTTTCTTTGCTCTACCTTTTTGCCCTTATGCCCATCCTCACTAGATTAACCCTCAATGGAAGGGAAAACTGCCTAACTGAGTTGTATTGAAATGCGATTTTCAACTGGAAACACTCAGACAAACACACCTACAAATAATGCTTTGCCAGGGACAAAAGCCATAGTACAGTACAGCAGTGTGGCATTTTCCTTGCACGCAGCCCACCTGGATTCAATTCCTGGCATCCCATAGAGTACTCTGAGCACTGCCAGGAATAATTTCTGAGTCCAGAACCAGGAGTAACCCCTGAGCATCACTGGGTGTGACCCAAAAAGCAAATCAAATAATAATAACAATGCTTTACTAAATATCTAAATTACCCCATGCTCCACTCTAGTTCCTTTTTTAAAAATTTTTATTAGTGAAACACCATGAGGTACAGTTGTAGACTTACAATTTTTTGTGCTTGGGTTTCAATTATACAATGTTCAAGTACCCATCCCTCCAGCAGTGCCCATTTTCCACCACCACTGATCCCAGTATCCCTCCAACCTCCCTTCCCCGCCATCCCACCCTGCCTCTGTGGCAGGGCATTCCCTTTTGCTCTCTCTCCTTTTGGGTGCTGTGGTTTTCCACTCTAGTTCATACCAAAAAATTATGACTTGGGAAGAGAAACAAGAGGCGCTTCCTCCATAGAATGGCAAATACATAGTTTGTATTTACAATACTTAATACCTATTTTCTGGAGTGATAGCACAGCGGTAGGGCGTTTGCCTTGCATGCAGCCAACAAGGCCGACACGAGTTCGATTCCTCCTCCCCTCTCGGAGAGCCCAGCAAGCTACCGAGAGTATCTCACCCACACGGCAGGGCCTGGCAAGCTCCCTGTGACATATTCGATATGCCAAACACAGTAACAACAAAATCTCCAATGGAGACGTTACTGGGCCCACTCAAGCAAATCGATGATCAATAGGAGGGCCTTTACCTTTACCTTAATACCTATTTTCAGAAAAAAAAAAAAAACACTGTTTAGCATTGTCACACACAGTGGCATTGGAATAGTTTGGCAGCAAACATGTCAGTGGGAACTGCTTCCTATTAAATCCTTAGCAAAAGGAATTTGTTACATAGCTGTGCAGCAGGGTCAACATCTAGGAATGCCAGTCTTTAGTGCATGCTAATAGAAACACAAAAACACTGGTTTAGCTTATATGCAGAAAGGGGCAAGATAGTCTCTAGGACCAGAAGACCCGACTCCATGACTTCATTCCTCAGGAGGTTACCCACTGCTGTGAAGTGTCAGTGAAAGGGCAGCTGAGCTTGCTCCGTCATTTACACTGCATGAAGTAGGTGTTCCAGGTTCAGTTAAGAGTAGAGACATTGGAGGTGGAGAATTTAGCATTACAGTTAGAGTTCTGCGCTCTGTGGCTGGTATACAAACAGACAAGGAGCTCATTCAAGTTTGGTGTTCATAAGATGCTGTTTGTTCTCATCTGGGAATTTTGGTTATTGGTAGGATCATAGTGTTTATGTAGACCCTGTGGAGGTCTATCAATTTAGATGCTAATGTCTAATCCTATTAAATATTAATAAGAGGTGGTATAGATCAGCTGTAGCAAATTAAATTTTTAAATTTAATTTTTTTAATTGAATCAATGATAAACGGTTACAAAGCTGTTCATGATTGGGTTTTAGTCATATAATGTTCCAACATCTTCCTTCACCAATGTACATTTCTGACCACCAATGTCCTCAGTTTCTCTCTAATCACTCCCTTCTTCTCCGTTCCCATGCTGCTTCATGTCAGGCATTTCTCTTCTCTTCTCTCTCTGTCTCTCTCTCTCTGCCCCTCTGTCCCTCTGTCTCCCTCTATCTCTGTTTCGTTCTCTCTCTCTCTCTCTCTCTCTCTCTCTCTCTCTCTCTCTCTCTCTCTCTCTGTATCTCTCTCCCCCCCCGACTTGCATTACGATTTTTAGTACAGATACTGAAAGGTTATCTGGTATGTCCTGAATAGGTATATGTATCCTGTATAGGCATATATATGCTTTATAGGTATATCACAGTCACGGTCACAGTCCTTCCACTGTGCATCGATTTGCTTGAGTGGGCCCAGTAATGTTTCCATCGTGAGACTTGTTGTTACCATATTTGGCATATTGAATATGTCACAGGTAGCTTTCCAGGCTTTGCCGTGCGGGTGAGATACTCTCGGTAGCTTCCCAGGCTCTCCAAGAGGGGTGGAGGAATCAAACCTGGCTCGGCCGGGCCAGCTTCACGCAAGGCAAACGCCCTACCGCTGTGCTATCGCTCCAGCCCTTATAGGTATATATCGCAACTAATATTGAATAGACATTCTCAGACATAGTGTGCTCAGAAGCACCGGGGAGCTAGTGCAAATTTCCGTTTAGCATGCCTTTTCTCGTCTGATCAATTTGGTAGTTTCCCCGGGCCTGCATTTTTATTCTCTATGTTATTTTGTTAGAAGTAGTCTGAAGATCATACTTCAAGAGTTTCCATTACATTTGTTAGTCAAATTCATGGAGAAAGAGAAACTATGGTTGCTAAGGGCTAGGATGGGAGAATGGATTGTTTTTGTCTGGGAAGAGAAAAACATTCTAGAGATGGATGGCAGTGGTAGATGTACATGAAAGTACTTAATGTCATCATATGCTCAAGACAGTTAAAATGGTAAACTTTATGGGTTTTCTTGTTATTGTAAAGTAAGATTTTCTGATGTAAAAGGTGGCCTTTTAAAAAATATTGATGTGTCTGTGTGTTCTTCCTAAGTGTTAATGAGTAAAATAGATATTTCCCATCTAAAGTATTATAATGTGTGCTCAATTGTGGGTTAATGTTGTTCAATACTCCATCATCTTTTCAAAAAGAGCAAAAATAAGAGTCTAAATAAAAGGATTTAAAGCAGGTAAATTTTGTCTCATTCAAATAGAATTGATTTCTTCTTCTATATCCATCATCTGGCCACATTGAGGGGAGTATTGGAGCTAGACACTCATTTCAGTTCCTTATAATTGTCCCCCAACCTGCTGCTTTAAATTGGAGTGACCAGGTTTTACCTTGTCTTGTTTTTGCTGTAATGATACTCATGCTTTTTCAGGATAGGGTGTGGGCCAATGTGGGAAAGAGCCTGAACTGCATTATCGCTATGGTGGACAAGCTCATTGAAAAAGATGGAGGCCATGAAAGCAGCAGTGGCAAAGATGGAGAAAAGGACCCTTCCTCTGTGGATGGCACCGCAGCTCAACCCAAGGGTAAGGAGTCATCTTTGCCTAATCACTGCCTGAGGTAGCAAGTGAAAAAGCCATGATAACAATGACAGAAAAAGAGGTGTCAGTCAGGCCTTTGATGAAAGTGCTGAGATCTTGCTTTTCACTGGCTTGGATGAAGAGAGGCTATTTATCAAATTGCATCTCAGTTGTGTTTTTAGAACTGCTGGCAATGCTTGTTTTTTTCCCCCTTTTGCTACATAAAAATCTTCTTAAAAGAAGAACAGTGTTTGCTTTTAAAGAGTCTGACATAGTTTCATCTACATTTAGACATTCCTCCGAAATTTTTATTAGGAAAGAAAACAAACATCTGCTCTTAAAACTCAGGAAATCTGAGGGATAAAAGTTTATAAAAGTATCATAATGCAGTCTTTTACAAATATTCTTTGCCTTAGTCTGTAGGAGATTTTTGTACATTTGCAAAAAAAATTGTTTCGTGATATATGAGAGAAATGTTTGCTTGTCATTTCACAAACATTAAGATGACAGATTTTTATTGATGCATATATGTACGAATGCACATATGCATGTTTATTCATACATGGATACATATGTGATTAGTTATATAGATAAACAGATACATAGATGCTTTGAATGATTTGTCTTGTAAGGATTGGCAAGTAAATATGATCACCAAAATTTTAACTCTGGTTATGTCCTTTTAAGTAACTTTTGGTTATAATATTATTATTGATTTGATTGATATTTACAAATGAGCCCAAAAAATATCTGTATGAGAGCTTAAGTTTGGGAGAATTTCTTCAAGAATGGCCCCAAGTGTTTTTCTAGGTTTTGTAAAATTTCGATAAAATAAAGTGTCACCCTACCCTCTTCTAAATTGATTTTTCATTTTACTTTGAGGAAATGAGCCATAAGAAAATATGGACGATTATAAAATTAAATTTATGTTTTCCCAATTTGTTTTCCCTATTTTTCATTACTCACATTTTCATCGGGAATTTAATTATGTGAAGTATAAATCTATCATCACTTGATTAACAGTAGAACCATTTTAAATCATATCTGTAAAGTCATAGCTTTTTGAAAATTTTCTATTGTAGATGGTCCCTCATTCTCTAGAATATATTCGTATAGGTGGAAAATTCATACTAATATTCTTTATGTTCACAACTGCTTGGTCTAGTTATATGGAAGGATTTTCTTATTTAATATTATCAGCTTTATTAGTTAATGAATCTAGTCCAGTTCCATAACTTTACATGAATCAAAATGAAAGCTTGTCATAACTTATGTCATAAAGAAATAGTATACTTCAATTTTCTTTAATTGCACATTTATTGACTATCAATTATAAACTAGACACTATGCTGTGCTCTGGAAAATGAGGTAAGGAGGCAGATCCATTTTCATGACTTATTCTGTCCATTGATGGGCTTTCAAGGCATGATTCTTTTGAGAAAATTAGGAAAAGAGTCATTTTTTTCCTTTGACCTTCAAAGAAATCTCATTGTAGATGAGAGTTGCAAAAATCTTGAAATAATAAATTATACATATCTTCTATTTTATCAGAAGATTACATCTGCATGCTCAAAGTATGGTAAAAAAAAAAGTAAAAATAGCTGATGTATAAACTTTGGGCCAGAGAGATTATATAGTAGTTGGGGAGAGATCCTTGCTTCTCATCAACCACAGCCCTTTCAACATCTGCAGCACAGAGGGCCCCTGAGCACAGAACCAGGAGTAGGCCCTAAAAAAAAGGAGACTTGATGGATTTTACTTTGTTTGTAGTAATCTCAAACAGTAGCAAGAGTTGTTGCTGTAGTATTCATACCTAGGTTAATATTTCAATTAAGAGTCAAAACCTGTGATATAGTCTTAGATGACATCTTAACGTTTTCATCTGATTCCCCCATCTTTGTTTCCTTCATCCTTTGTCATGTTTCACACTTTCAGGTGTTAATCTACTCCTATCTGTATAAAATAAAATGTATATTTTGATCAGAAAATTAATGGAGTGTGCCAGATAACTTCAGGTTTAAGTTTGGGTTTACATTTATGTGTTAGTTGTATGTAGAGTGCATGTTTCGGAGAGGATGTTGTAAATAAAAGAGGATACTTAACATATGGAAATATGTTTTACAATGAGTCTGAGCTTGAATGTGTTTGAGATGGAGTCAAGAGAGATGGCTTTACAGGTAAGCTGGAGTGTATGCTTCCCATGCCAGGGATCTGATTTGATCCCCAGTTGTGTCTACTGAGCACTGCCAGAAATCATCAGGAACCACACCCCCCCCAGCACTGCATCAGGATAGCCTCTGAGCACCACAAAGTGTGAGCTCCAAAGAAGACAAATGTATAGAGTTGTCCTACAAATATGCATAGACTTACAAATATGTGTGGATCTACAAATATGTTTCGATCTCTGAAACAGATTGTGAATATTCCTGTATAGGTGGAGTTCGATTTTTAAATGGAGTCAATTATGTAATTATGTAATAAATGTTTCCTTTTTCCTTTTTTTTAATTGTTTGATAAGTGATATTTATGTAGGGAATATACATTCAAATTGGTTGATACCAGAAACATTCATTTGAAGGATATTTGCACAACTGTGTTCATTACTGCACTTAGTATAATAGAAGACTTGACAATTACCCTAATGCCCAACTATTAGATAATTAGATCAAAAAGTTGTGGTGTATGTATACAATGCAGTTCTGTGCAGCTCCAAGAAAGAACAAAATCATAAAATTTGTAGCAGTGTGGATGGAACCAGAGGATATCATGCTGAGTGAAGTCATAATGAAGGGACAGGATCAGGGGAATGAGACAAATCATTGTTACTGTTTTGGGCATATCAAATTTGCCATGGAAGCTTGCCAGGCTCTACAGTGCAGGCAGGATGCTCTCAGTAGCTTGTCAGGTTCTCCGAGAGGGAGAACCAGACTATAAGAGCTCTTCCGGGAGCTTTGTTTTATAGTCTTTGGATCTTGGCTGTTGATGGTATTTCATGGCGCTGGGGGCAGTTTGTTGGTGTGACTGCCTAGCTACTGGAAAACGGGGGATCTGGGTGGAGGAGGCCCAGTTCCGTTCTAAGCAGACTTGGAGATCTCAGCCCCGGGTCCCACATAACTGGGTTTCTCTGCCGGTTCCTTCATGCGTGAGGCTTGTCTGAGCATGTGGAGAGTGGCCTTGAACATGGTTGTGGCTGGGTTCTGGAGGTCTTCTGCTGGGGCTCTTCTCAGGGCGAGGAGGGAAACTCAACCCGCCCCCCTCCGAGGGAACCCGGTGCAGACAGCCTGGCTCTCTCCTATATAGCACTTAAAGGTACACAATGAGGGAGCAGCAAAGATCCAAAGGGAACATAATGGGGTAAGACCCACACAATCGTATTGGGGGCAGGAGTTGTGAGAAGGAGAGGTCTAGAGGTCTGGGTTCCTTGGGGCAGGAAACAGCACAGTGGTAATGCATATGGTAGCACTGCACGGTAGCACTGTCCTCCCGTTGTTCATCAATTTGCCCAAGCGGGCACCAGTAACATCTCACAACAATATGGTATTAGAATCATATTCATGAGAAACTATCGTTAATAGTATTGCAAACAAAATTTTTAAAAACTTAAATAGTTAATAAAATGCTGTTTAGTTATTATTCTAAATATTATTATTCCTATTAATTTTTTCTTCAAAGACTGAAGCACTTTTAGTTTCTATCCTGATGTTGTCACATAAAGGAGTAAAATGGAGAAATGAATAGCAGCTTAAGAACTGATATAAATGAATAACCTAAATTCACGGATTTACCTGTCTAACTGGCAAGCTATTTCAGTTAAAGATAAATGAGCTATATAAATTCACTGATGACATGTGAATCCATTTACCTATTTAAAAAATTAAATTAATATTTTGTGTAATTTTTTCCCTAACAATTAGAAAGTTTTTTTCAACATGTCTTAGGTTTATTAGTACATGCATATTTATTTTTATCTTATCTGGGGGATGAGTTCAATATCTTGCAGTCCTCGGGGATACTCCTGACAGGGCTTGGGAGATTATCTGGGGTGCGAGATGGAACTTGGGTCAGCTGCATGCAAGGCAAACGTCCTGCCTGCTGCTGTACTATCTCTCCAACCTTGCAAGTCCACATTTATACAGCTAACAAAGAGAACTATGCATTATAGAGATGTGTTTCATTGTATTCTTTATTTCCTGATAAATATCCACTGTGAGATTACAAAAACCATCAACTAATTCATCAAAAGAAGAAACATGCTTTTAGATATTTAAGTATAATAACCATGTTGCAATGAAAACATAAGCATCTGAATATCTCATTCTTGATCTCAAATGATCTTATCTTTCCCCTTAAATTAGACTGGTAGAAGTAGATTTATTTTCTAAAGGCAAAAGTTCTCTTTTTCTCTCACAAATATTTGTGCAATTGTTTGCTTTTCATCAGTGTGAACTTATGAATGCTTTTGTCCCTCGATTAATAATCCAGTATTACTATTATTATTACCGTACTGGGTGGGGGACATATTACTCCAGAAGGCACTGAGAGCTTTTTCAGATTAGCTTCCCTTCAGGAAGGACCCCTCTTCCTTCCCCCACCACATACCCTTTCACTTTCTTACTCGCTCCATGTCCTTCCTGTTTGAACTGGTACCTTCGTATGGCACCGACACCTACCCTAGTGTTATATGTCCACAATGGAATACCGGGCAGTATTTTTTGATATCTTCCCTGCTCGAGGTTCAGTTTCCCAAGGACCCTTGTTTTCTATTAATGATAATAGCAGTGAAGAACCAACATTTTTTTGTGGGAGGGACTCTTAGCAGCACTATCTCTAAGCACCCCTAAAACTATAATCCTCCTACCTTAAATAGTTTTCCTGATTGCATGCAAATTCAGATGGAAACTCTTGTGTCAGAACACTTGATTATTTGTGGACTTTCTGTTTTATAGTTTAATGCCATATTTCTAAACATGTTTGATAATAAATTGTTTCTTTCATAGTTCTCACTT